GAGTGGGGAAGGGCAGAGGGAGACAGAGAATCTTAAGCAGGCTCTATGCTCAGCATGGAGCCTGATACGGGGCTTGATCTCATGACCCTGGGATCATGACCTGAGCTGAAATCAAGTCAGATGCTCAACCCACCAAGCCACCCGGGTGCCCTAGCATAATGTTTTCAAAATTCATCCATGTTGTGGGGCACCTGGGTGGCTCAGTTGGTTTAGCCTCTGACTTTGGCTCAGGTCATGATCTCGTGGTTTGTGAGTTTGGGCCCCACATAGGGCTCTGTACTATCAGCATGGAACCCACTTCAGATCCTCTGTCCCCCGTCTCTCTCTCTGTCCCTCCCTGGCTCTCATGCTCTCTTGCTCTCTCATTAATAAACATTAAAAATTAAAAAAAATTCATCCATATTGTAGTATGGACCAGTACTTCAGTTATTTTTATGGATGAACAATATTGCATATTTTGTTAATCTGTTTATTATTGATGGACATTTGGGTTGTTTCCACTTTTGCCTACTAAGAATAATGCTGCTGTAAAAGATTCAGGTACTACCTTTTCTTTTATTTTTTTTTTTTTAATTTTTTTTTTCAACGTTTATTTATTTTTGGGACAGAGAGAGACAGAGCATGAACGGGGGAGGGGTAGAGAGAGAGGGAGACACAGAATCGGAAACAGGCTCCAGGCTCCGAGCCATCAGCCCAGAGCCTGACGCGGGGCTCGAACTCACGGACCGCGACATCGTGACCTGGCTGAAGTCGGACGCTTAACCGACTGCGCCACCCAGGCGCCCCTACCTTTTCTTTTAAATGTGCTCTTTTACAGTCGCTAATCTGCCTTCCCTAACATGTTCATTTCAAACACTGTATCTTTAATTTCCAAGATTTCTAATAGAGTTTTCCCCTCTTTCTGTTTGATATGGCGATGTGTTCTTTTTTGAAAAAATTTTTTTTATTTGAGTATAGTTGACACATAGTACTACATAAGTTTCAGATATACAGCATAGTGATTCATCATCTCTACAGGTTGTGCTATGCTCAATACAAGTGTAGCTACCATCTGTCGTCATACACTATTATGACATCATTGACTATATTTCCTATGCTGTAGCTTTTATTCTCATAACCTGTTCATTCCATAACCACATGCCTATATCTGTTACTCCCAATCCCCCATTTTCCCATCCCCCATTCCCCTCTCCTCTAGCAACCATAAGTTTGCTGTCTGTATTTATAGGTCTGATTCTGCTTTCTCTTTGTTTATTCATTTGTTTTTGTTTTCACTTATGAATGAATTCATAGGGTGATTTTTACGGCTGTGTAATACTCCATTGTATGTATGTGTGTATGTATATATCAATAGCTATCTATATATGATGTAGATGTATATATACTTATATATACATACATGTATACATATGTATATACACACACACGCGTGCATAGCACATCTTCATCCACTCATCTATCAATGGATATTTGGGTTGCTTCTATATCTTGACTATTGTAAATAATGCTGCAGTAAATATAGGGGTGCATATATCTTTTTGAATTAGTTTTCTCCTTTTCTTTATGTAAATACCCAGTAGTGGAATTATTGGATCATATGGTAGTTCTATTTTTAATTTTTTGAGGAACCTCCATACTTTCTTCCATAGTCACTATACCAATTTACTTTCCCACAAACAGTGCATGAGAGTTCCTTTTGGATCCACATTCCTACCAATACTTGTTATTTTTTGTGTTTTTCATTTTAGCAGTTCTGACAGGCACAAGATGATATCTCATTATGGTTTTGATTTGCATTTCCCTGATGATGAGTGATGTTGAGCATCTTTTCATGCATCTGTTCGCCATCTGTATGTTGTCTTTGGAAAAATGTTCAGATCTTACCATTTTTAATTGGATTATTTGTTGGGGAGGTTGGTGTTGAGTTGTTCTTTATTTATTTTGGATATCAACCCCTTATATATATCATTTGTAAATATTTTCTTTCATTCAGTAGATTGCCTTCTTGTTTTGTTGATAGTCTTCTTTCCTTTCAGATTGTTTTTTAATTCTGTTTCCTCATGTATAAGTTTTATTAGTTGATATGTGTCATATTTTTCATGTTATTGGTCTTTGTTGGTTGGTAACTTTTAGATAAGAGCTAATTGTCCATCATCCATTTGTTTTGAACACATTCTGCATTGACAGGGTTCCAATAGGAAGCTCTCTGTTGCTGAGCCCTAATCTTGCAGGATATGTATCTTAGATTAAATTTTGCTTGTGTGGTAAGATACAAAGCTCTTGCATCTTAATAGACTACATAGTTCTGAGTCTTATCTCCACTTACATGACGTAGTTCTAAGGCTTGTGTCAGTGATCCTGCTACTAGCATCACTTGGCTTTAATCAACTCTCTGGTAGTTTGTGTTTTGGGTCCTTGTTTAGATCTCCAGTGTATGGCCTGTGTGGATCTTGCTCTTACATCTATGGCTATTGCCATATTAGCCCTATGTATTTTTCCCTAGTCCAGGCCCCAAAGATGGTGCACATCTTTGGTCCTCACCTACCATTGTGGATTTTCTTTTTTCCTTTCTGAAGATAAGGGGAATCTCTCTCTCCATTTCTGGTCTGTAAAGATTTGTCTCTTTTTCTCACCATGACTATGTATTTTCTAGACTATGTATTTATTAAGATTTAAAAATACTTGTTTTGGGGCACCAGACCAGCTCAGTCGGTTGAGTGTCTGACTTTGACTCAGGTCGTGCGCTCACAGTTTGTGGGTTCAAACCTGGGTCGGGCTCTGTGCTGACAGCTCAAAGCCTGGAGCCTGCTTAGGATTCTGTGTCTCCCTCTCTCTCCATGCCTCCCCCACTCGTTCTTGTTCTCTCTCCCTCTCTCTCTCTCTCTCTCAAAAATAAGTAAAAATTAAAAAGAAATTAAAATACTTGCTTTAGTAGGTGATGGGTATTAAGGCAGGCACTTGTGATGAACACCAGTTGATGTATGACAGTGTTGAATCACTATATTGTTCACCTGAAACTAATATTACACTGTTACGTTAACTGGAATTTAAATAAAAACTTAATTTTTTTTATCATTTTATGTGTTTGAATGGGAAGGTGCAGTTTCTTTTTTTTTTTTTTAATTTTTTTTTTTAACGTTTATTTATTTTTGAGACAGAGATAGAGCATGAATAGGGGAGGGTCAGAGAGAGAGAGAGGGAGACACAGAATCCGAAACAGGCTCCAGGCTCCGAGCTGTCAGCACAGAGCCCGACGCAGGGCTTGAACTCACGAACCGCGAGATCATGACCTGAGCCGAAGTCGGACGCTTAACCGACTGAGCCACCCAGGCGCCCCGGGAAGGTGCAGTTTCAACATATGCTCAACTTATCTTGAAATAGAAGGCTTTGGGGTGCCTAAGTGGCTCAGGCGGTTAAGCATCCAACTCTTGATTTCAGCTCAGGTTACGAACTCACAGTTTGTGAGTTCGATGCCCACGTCCAGCTCTGCACTGACGGTGTGGAGCCTGCTTGGGATTCTCTGTCTCCCTCTCTCTCTGCCACTCTCCTGCATACACTCTCTCTTTCAAAGTAAATAAATAAACATTAAAAAAGAAATAAAAGGCTTTTATTTAGTTTTATTGTTCTGCCTTTCACATTTAACTCTAGTCAGTCCATCTGGGTGTGTGTGTGTGTGTGTGTGAAGTGAGGCAATTGAAACTGATTTTCCACAAATAACTACACATTTTCTTTTAAATTGTTAATTAGATTTCTGGAGAATTCAGTTATTGACAATACTTTTTCTTATGTATCTACATGTTTTACCCATTCTGCACTGTATCAGTACTTCAAAGACAAGGGTAGGACTCAGGAACAAATTTTCTCTTATTTCACAAAAGGTAATTTAATCACAGTAAAAAGGGGTCACTTTAGGTCAGAAAGTTGGTCAGTGGTAAAACTAGATTGATGCAAGGCATCTTGGTTCAATGCCAAGTTCACTAAACCTCAGTGTAGCACAACCTTGCTGCCATATTATCCCAAGCTTTACAATTGAATTATATTTGAAAAACAAATAATGGCAAGAAAAATACTACCCACTAAGATTGATAGCTAGTACTTGATCTTGGTAATGTCTGTACTTTCTGAGGTTACAGATTTATTAGATATGTAGTATGAGTGCTGTAGGAGAGAGTTGTGCTTTTATTTTAGGATGCATTTTATTATTGTTTTTAAAGTTGGATTCTTGTATAATATCAACACTGCCAACCTCATTTACAAAATCTTTGTTTTTAGTTCTCCATTATACTAGTAATGTAGAGGAGAAATAAGGGATGGCATTTTATAAAATGGGAGATTTGTTTTTTTTTTCCTTTATAATATGAGTGCCAAGATACAGAAAGGAAGGACAATGATGCAAATTTTGAGGTTCTCTTTGTTGATGATGCAGGACCACCTGGTGCTTTGTGGAAGTTCTAAGTTAACATATGTAAACATACCAAGTGGTTAATTTGTGAACAAAATTAGGAAGAGTTTGTTTTACTTTGTAAAGACTACCTTATTAAATAAAGAAAGTACCGCATTAGGTAAATGCCTGAGAGGGCCATTCTTGAATTTTTCTGCTTTTAATTCTAAATTAGCTCACTTACTGGATTTGTGTTTATCAAACAATGAATTAATTTATTGAAAACAGAAGAATATAAGCTAGAGCTGTCAGTTCTGAAGATATCTAGCTTTGGACATGACCTTGTGGAAATTAACTGAAAATACAAATTGATTTAGCAAATGTGAAAAATTGAAAACATGAGATTAAATGTCTTAACCCCATAAAGTAATTCTAAATGTTCAAGCAATTTGCTGATGCATAGCCATTTCCAGTCATACTTCAAATTTTGCAGATAATCTTTTCATCAGGGAAATGCCTTCTTGGCTCATCAGTTTAATAAACAATTCCAGAAACTCTGGTACTTATCCAAACTGCCTTTTTATTTATTTATTTTTTGTCTCCATTTCTTCTCACACAGAAATACAATCTATACTGCCCGGATTCTCTGCAAAGCTGAACTGGACTTCAGAAGAAGCCAGCTCTTCTCAGGACATATCAGGGGTAACACCCTTCCAGATGATTTTTGAGGCAGGTTTTGTTGTGGTTCTATAAATTACTGATATCTTGATTCTCATTTTTCTACAAATATAATAATAGGAAAGAAAAGCCTAGGTCCATCACAGTTCCAAGTTGAAATGAAATAAGGCATTGGCTCCCAAACTTCTCTGTGCAGATTTCAACACCCCCCCCCCCCCCCGCCCCGTAGCTTCGAAATGACTGGTATTTGTGTCCCACTCCAAGAGATTGTGATTTAATTGGCCTAGGGTGTTGGATTAGTTTGCTCAGGTTGCCATAAAGAAATACTATGGATTGGGTGGTTAAACAACAGAACATTTTTTCCTCATACTTTTGGAGTCTAGAAGTTTAAGAATAAGGTGCCTTGTCACTGTTTCCTCACATGGTTCCTCTGTGTATATGTGGTGGGAGAGCTCTCTAATTAGTCTACCACTTCTTATAAGGACATCTTCCTGTCAGATTAGGGCTCCACGTTTATGACCTCATTTAACTTTATTTATGTCCTCAAAGCTCTGTCTCCAAATACAGTCACATGGGGGGCTAGGGCTTCAATGTATGAATTTTAGGGAATACAATTTAGTCCATACTGGTGTGGCCTGGGCTTTAAAATATTTTTGAAATCCCAGATGAAAAAAATTCCCAGGTGATTCCTAATGTGCAGGTAAACTTGAGAACCACTGAAATTAAGCCATTATTTGAGTTTGGATCTCCTGAAAGACAAAATAAAAATGGATTCCCAGTGTAGATCCTATTGGCATACATTTTATTAGGTTGACTTAAAGATCTTTATTGATTTATTTGTAGCCCAGATTTATGAGTGACAGTTGAGTTTTCCATTCCCTTTAACAATTCTGTGATTCCCTATTCTTTCTTTCCTTTGAATTTGTGGAGACATAAAGAATTAGAGTACTTTAAACATTCTCCCAAGAAGCACTTGGGAGGCCTTTCTTCACGTTTGGACAATTATATGCTCCTTCTCAAAGGAAAGGGGTGCAGTATTGCGACAATAGATATCCCTGGCCGTGCCTTATCTTCTTTAGGAGAATGATGAGTAAACAATCTGGAGCAATTAATGGTTAGTCAGCTCTGAAACTATTAACATTAAGTAGCAATAAAAAAGCTGATTTCAGTGAACCAAGGAAATCAGTTCTAGTAAAGGAGATCATGTGTTTTAGCCAGTCTAAACAAACAATGATAATTCTTACACGTAACATTTATGTATATTATTTAAGCCTCCCAACAACTCTGTGAAGAACAGAGATTATCACCCAATTTACAGATACAAGAAAACTGAGATTCAGAGAATTAGATTGACTTTCAAGGGTCATATGAAAGTTAAGCGACAGGATTAGAATTTGAACCAAAGTCTTGTACTCATATTAATCAGGTCTGTTTGAATATTTATTCACTCATTGACAAACCTGTGTTTGTTCAAGCCGGCCTCACTTTGCTAGATGTTGAAGGTACAGTGACCCAAGACATGTTACTTGATTCCAAGAAACCTGAAATCTAAAGGAAAAGATAAACAAGCAAACAAATAATTATAATACACTGTAAATGTATTATGATAGAGGTAGGATATATATATATAGGAAGGATATCTAACCCAATGGGAAGTGCCCAGTTCTCATCTCTTGATGAGACTGAAAACAGATTATCTGATATAAGGAGTTCAGAGACTTGAAAGAATAGGGATTTGTCTTCAGATTGATAAAGTTTGTCTTATTTTTTTTCCTTATTGCAAAAGCAGTGTTTCCCTCAGGAAAATCAGAGAGAGCATCTAGAACACAGATAATTTGACATAATCAAGGTAGCCACTGTTAACATCCTAGTGTGCACCTTTTCACATAAGAGTGAGGCATTTCAGTTTCAGGTTTTTAGAATGGTACCATTCCAAATTATGGCCATGGAAATAGGTGGCTGGAAATGCATGGAGGTCAAGGTCGTTGGGAGTTGAAGAGGTCAGGAAATTGTTGCTTAGACAGGCCATCTACTTGGATGTGGAAGTCAACCCATATGATGGTATGTCTTAAAGTGCTGAGGGAAACTGATCTCAGTGCCTGCAGTCAGCTGGTGATCCATGAAGAGTGGGGAAGAGTAGTATGACCTCAGAGGAACAAGGATTCCCTGAAATGAAAGCATTGGTTCTATTACATCTCTTGTCTCTGGTACTATGCAGCTATTTAAAAGATACTTGAATGAAGGAAGTGAGAAGGGGAGATTGTGAACAAGCTAATTATATATACCTCAAATGGGGAGAAGGGTTAGATAGCAAGGTTCAGAGCAGAGGCTAGTGAATGGAGACATCTGTGAAAAAGCTATAATAAATGATCCACTGCTTTGGGCATGTGAGGAAAGCTAATCCCAGGAAATACGAAGAGAGCTTCATTTAGGAGAGATGCATAAGCTCAGAGTTAGTCTTGTGTCTTGCATCTTGGAGTCCATTAGGCTGGATAACATGTACTTCCAAAAACAATTTGATTTTACAAGATCTTCTTGAAAGCTTTATCCATTTTTATATTTATTTTTGCCATAATATTAAAAATGATAAAATTGGTAGAGATAAACATATATACATATAAACATCTTCATACTTATATTTATCGATCTCTGTTTCTCTAACTAGAGACAGGAAGAGACAGAGGCACTGACTGACTTTCTTCTAGACAGTCATATAGGGCCCATGACTACATAAGTTCAGTTTGAAAATATAAAACAGCTCTGATATTCTGTGATATAATTAGATTTGTATTTAAAGGTGAAGGCTGAACATATGATTCGGTAGTGGTTTCTGCTGCCCAGGGCTTGCAGCATCTGTTTTTTCCTAACACACTTAAGTAAATTCACTGCTTCTATAGATATGTTAGGCTGGGGTACTGCGTTCCTAACACCCAACTGTAAAAGGCTGTAAAAGACTTTGTAGACATACACATATACATATATTCTCTCTCTCTGTTTCTCTCAATAATTTATGAGTAGATCTTAAAAGGAGGCATTTGCTTTATGTTAACTATCCTCTGCTGATAGGACATTAGGTCACTTTATCTTCTCAATCTGAATTAGGTGCCAGTCTTTCTTGTGCATTTCTTTAGCATCTCTTATATATCTAAATCATAAAACTTTCACATTGTCATATAAGTTATTTGTCTTTCCCTTCTACTTAACTGAACTCTTCAAATTCAGAGATTGTTTTATTTCCTCTGTGGGCCCAAGTATATAATAAGCTTCATTGAGTATTTTGAGTGGATAATTGAGTAGTTTGCATAAGTGTTGCCTATCAGGGTCCATAAAAGTAATGATAGATAACATAATATCTGATTCAGGAAGCTATATGCACTGAAAATGAACTTTCTTGGAGAGACAGCATTGCATAGTGGAACGTGGACTTTGAAACAAGTCATATCTAGGTTTGAATCCCAGTTCTTAACTAGACACGTGTGACCTTGGACAAATCAAACAGCTTATTTAGTCTCATTATTTTCATAAATAAAATGGGGAAATTTCCTACTTGCGTACAAACTGTTTGGCATGTAGCAGGTGTTCAGTAAATGGTACCTCTCATCATTATTAATTGTAGCCTCTTTCTGGTAGCTGCTGAAGGAATTTACACTTACTTGGTTGCTTTACTGCTAGATATAATTAGCCCTTTCTATGATGTACCCTATAATAACAAAGGCTACAGAAGTTTGAAATTGTTCCAAGAAGTTGTTTTGGAAGTGCTAATTACAGAAAATGCTTCGAAGAGATCATTGCTTTTCTACTATTTGAACATTTTATGATAAAAATTTTTAAATGAAGGATGTGACTGTGATGTGTATGCTGCAGTTATAACTTAATTACCACTGTTTTTGTGTATGAAAAATCTTAGATCTGTATCCAGAATTTTCTAATAATTCCCATCCATTTTTCTGATAATTTTTGCTAATGATTCTGTAATAATCTAATTTCCCCACCCATTGCACAATTCTTGATCTCATTTTCAGTGTGCTTACAAAAAGTATTACAAGAATTTATTCTTTCTGTTTCTTCCTCATTGTGTTATGATATTTTGAGATCTGGGACCATTTTTTTCTTAATATGTACCTACTACATGGCTCTGTATTCTCAGAGCCACCAATAACTTACTGATATTTTTTTACTCTATTTCTTCTTCTCATTTTCCTCAACTTCTCCATTTTGTAGAAGACTCTTTATAACTTTAGTTTTAGGGGCACTGTATTAAATACAATGAGCCATTATAGGATAGTGGTTAATACTAAAGCTTTGAATCCAGATCAGGTAACCTTAAGAAAGTTGTTTGACCTCTTTGAGACTCATTTTTTTCATCCACAGAATGTGGGTTATGTGTATGTAATAGGGCTTTTGTGAGGGGTAAATGAGGTAGTTAATACAAGTAAGGTACTTTTGCTCCATTCCTGGAATAGAGAAAATCCTCATTAAATTGTAAATTTTATTGTATTTATAGGGAGGTATCTGGGTATGCTTGAAAGAGCATGGACAGTTAGTGTTAGACAGACTTAAGGTCAAATTCTGGCTCTATCACTGAACCGCTGAGTAACCTTAGGCAAGTTGCTTAACTTCTCTGAACCTCATTTAAAAAAACCTACAGAGAAGATAGTACCTGCCTCCAGGTTTGTTGTGAGGTAATGTAGATACAGCACCTGCAAAATGCTTGATGCTTGCTATATAGTAGGCATTCAACAAGTGATATCTACTATTGTTGCCATGTATAATATATACTTTCAGATTATTATTTGGTCCTTAAAACAGTTCTGTGAGGGAGAATGGGTAACTGTTATTCCTGTTTTGAAGATTAGTAAATGAAGTCCAAAGCAATTAAGTGATTTTTTTTCATGGTTACGTATGTAATTTTATAGAGCTAGTACTAGAACACAGGTCTTCTGACTTGTGAGATTTTTGCTTTATAGCTTTCCCTAAAAAATAAAGTTTAGATAAATGGATTGATGATGAAAAGTAGGTTCCTTTTAGTGTCTGTTAATTTCACTCCATTCTTCTTTTTTTTTTTAATTTTTTTTTCAACGTTTATTTATTTTTGGGACAGAGAGAGACAGAGCATGAACGGGGGAGGGGCAGAGAGAGAGGGAGACACAGAATCGGAAACAGGCTCCAGGCTCCGAGCCATCAGCCCAGAGCCTGACGCGGGGCTCGAACTCACGGACCGCGAGATCGTGACCTGGCTGAAGTCGGACGCTTAACCGACTGCGCCACCCAGGCGCCCCATCACTCCATTCTTAATAGAGATTGACTCTCACATCAGGATGGCAGAGCTAAGAAAGAGTTAACGCTTCTTAGCTCTGGTCTGATACTTTTAAATTTGTTACAAAAAGTGGTTTTGAGATTGTGGGTTTTACTCTGACCTTTGTTCACATGTCTCCTAAAGTTCCATGAAATAGTTTAACCCAAGGAATGATGGCTGTTAGATTCCCTTTTGTATCCAATTCTTAGACCATCCCCTTGGATGTCTGAGAAGCTTTCTAAGGTGAGAGTTACCTTTATAGGAAGAAATATCACAGTTTAATTCATTTGTGCTCCTGGGTTTGTGTATATGTGGTAGAAGTTTTTGTTGGATTTTTACAGGTTGATGAAAAGCCCAGAACTTTGATGACAGATAGTTTGGTGATAAAGAACTTTTTACGCAGAATCATCATGGTACACCCTAAGGTAAGCTGTTCTTTTGCATAGTAATGATTCTTTTAAATCACATGTTTTCAAGAGACCTCTACTCTGTAGGACGTGGAAGGATATGCTTGGTCCTCTTTTCTTTTAATGACAATGATTACAACTTTAATATTGAATTGATTTGATTTCTGTGCCCCTAACACAGTGTTGGTGTTGGTCATGTGATATAGTTGATAGCCCTTGAATATAGAGCTTTCTTTGGGTTGTTGTTTTTACTTCCATATTATTTTATTGTATCAGTTTAGATACTTTTTTGCCTCCTCTGTGCTTCATTTTTCTGGATAATAAACCTTGCTGATTATTTCCTCCTTTTCCAAAGTGACTATAAGAGCAAATCAGGAAATTCTGACAAAGTACTTCAAACTTTGGAGAGCTATAATTTTTATTATTACATGTAGTTAGATATGTTTATAGGGATGTACACTGTTAAGTATGGTATATAACTTCTCCCTTTTTTCTCTTTCTAGAGTCAACTTTTTATGTCTTTGGCAGGGTTCAGTGCATATTATATGCCAGTTACTTCTGAGTCCTTTCCATACACTTATTCACTCACCTAATGCAACAGCCCTTGTGAAGTAGGTTTTATCATCATCATTCCCATTTTACAGCTGAAGAAACTGTGGTATAGAGGTTAAATAACTTGCAGAGCCAGGATTTGAAGTCAGGCAGTCTAGCTCTAGAGTCTTCTATTACATAGGAAGGAAAATGTAAATCAAAAGTAGGAAATAATTAGAACAGTGAAGTGAATTGGAGGACATAAAAGTCAGATGGGGGGAAGGGAAGAAAACACAAAGAAAAAAGCATGGAATGTTCTATATATGAAAACCATGGAAAAAATGGAGAGAAAAATCAATAGTTCTTTTAAGGGGGAGAAGATATAACTGGGAGAACAGCAGAGAACAAAAGTTAGGATATTCTGATAATCTGTGACCACTTGGAATTGAAGTGTAGGACTCAATATAAATTTAGATGCAGAATTTGAGCACAGGTAAATGTTAATTGTGTTAGTTGTTTAGGGAAAGTGCAAGTGAAAACAAGGTGATGTAAAGAATATCTACACCTTTGGGAATTAAGTATGGAAGTTTTTTAAAATTTTTTTTTCAACGTTTATTTATTTTTGGGACAGAGAGAGACAGAGCATGAATGGGCGAGGGGCAGAGAGAGAGGGAGACACAGAATCGGAAACAGGCTCCAGGCTCTGAGCCATCAGCCCAGAGCCCGACGCGGGGCTCGAACTCACGGACCGCGAGATCGTGACCTGGCTGAAGTCGGACACTTAACCGACTGTGCCACCCAGGTGCCCCATTATGGAAGTTTTTTAATCTCCATCCTTGTTCATGTTAAATCTCATACCCCATTTACTTTGCAGATTAGATTTAATTTCAGTGTAAAGGTGAATGGAATCCTTTCCTTGGAAATCTTTGGGTAAGTCTTTAAATCAATGGCTTAAATTTATGCCATGGTTTTATAGTTTTTCTCAGTCATTATTGCCCTATTTCTAGTAGCTTCACAGTTTGACTTCTTGACCCAAAGTTACCTTGAAACTAATTTTCTGAGACTCCCACATTTTCTTATTCTATATTAACTTTTAATGAGTAAGTAGATTCATCTATATCTTTTCGTGTCTTTCCCTCTCACCAGAGTGGGTGATCTTAAAAATTTCCATTTCCCTTTGGTTAGTTGGCTGTTGGATTCCAGTAATCTCTGTGGGTGGTGGTGGTCATGGGCCAAAATTTGTATCAGGTAAAGATTGGTTTTAGAATCTGTGAACTATGGCTTAGCTTTTCTTTGCTTTCCAGGACAAAGAACGAACCCACTTTGAACCTGTCGAATGGAATTGCTCTTGTTACAAACTATCAACATTATGTGAGGTGAAGGATGAAAGCATTGTTGTCCCTCTCCATGTTTTATTCTCCTGTTATGAGTATGAGTGTGGGTAGAAATTGAACATAGCCTCATTTGTCATTTCTTAGTGCCAGGCATTAGCTTCTCTGTAAGAAAAGTGGAAGTAAAACTTTTAATCTATTTGTATTGAAAACTCTCATTATTTCTGGCTCCTTGAATGTATTCTAATTGACCTGAGAACATGTCCCTTCTCCTTTCCATGTCTTATTTTTTCTATAAATGAAACAACAAATTTCAATCTTATTTACATATGAGAAGAGAGGAAGGACTTGAGAAGGTTCCTTGAACTCTTGGCTAGAAAGATACTATGAACACAAAGGAATTCTTTATATATTATTTTTTGTGCATTGGCATTTTTCAAAGGTTTGGAAATCATCTCTACCTCCACCTCCAGACTACAAAAAAAATCCATGGAGAAGATGGCAAATAAATGGAATTTATTCCTCTGCCTTGCCTTCCTAAGAGAATCCAAAGTGAACATGCATATAGCAAGAAAAAAAAAACAATTTATGATTTAGTCCAAGTAATTTATTCTTTATTCAGTAGTTTCGACTCCATTTGTATGCCCTGAATCAGCACTGGTAGTCATAGGATCTTAAGGTTTGAAGACACTGTTTATGGCTTTTTAGTCTGTTTTTTTACTCTTAGCCAAAAGTCCACTTCAGATTAGAATTTTTTCATTCTTTAATATGTGCAGTAAATAAAGTCCCCACTCTGTATCTATCTTTAGTAGTCCTTTACTATCATACAATCCTTAAAGTTAGACAGCTCATTATCAGAAATTTACTGAAAAAGTTTAAGCCTCTGAACCAGTGTTTGTGGACATATATTCCTGGATGACCTCATCAGTTTAAAGAGAGAGGAAAAATGCTCATTAATATTTCTTCCTATTTAAAAAAGAAAAGCTCGGGGCGCCTGGGTGGCGCAGTCGGTTAAGCGTCCGACTTCAGCCAGGTCACGATCTCGCGGTCCGTGAGTTCGAGCCCCGCGTCGGGCTCTGGGCTGATGGCTCAGAGCCTGGAGCCTGTTTCCGATTCTGTGTCTCCCTCTCTCTCTGCCTCTCCCCCGTTCATGCTCTGTCTCTCTCTGTCCCCAAAATAAATAAATTTTGAAAAAAAAAAATTTAAAAAAGAAAAGCTGTTAGAAAGTAAGCAAGTATCAAATTTCACTAGATTCTTTTAGGAGAGAAAGATGCCCTAATTTTTTCTCATTACTCCTATCAAACAGTAACCTCGGACTCCTTCAGGAGAAGGTGTAGCATGTGTGAGAGCAGATCTAAGTATTACAGGGCTAGTTTTAGGCTGTTGTGATTCAGGGACCCCTTCACCCCTACCCTCACCATGCTAATCTTTGATCTTGGAAACTTCTGCTCAGAGCTGTAGACTAATTTCAGTGGAGGAAATATACATTAGTGAATATAAAACTGCATAGTGGCAGGGATGCCTGGAGGGCTCAGTTGGTTAAACGTGTGACTTTGGCTCAGGTCATGATATGGTTTGTGGGTTCAAGCCCTGTGTCGGGTTCTGTGCTGACAGCCTGGAGCCTGCTTCAGATTCTGTGTCTCCCTCTCTCCCCCCATCACCCGCTCACTCTCTTCTCCCTCAAAAATAAATAAACATTAAAAAAAATTTTAAACTGCATAGTGGCAGCAGAAACAGTAGCCATGATATCATTCCTGAAATTCCAGTTTGTCTGCTCTTTCTATTGCTTGTGATTCCCTGAGACACAAGTTACTTATTCCAGTAAAACTAATATGGTAGATTATATGATTATGTATATGCTAGAGATATCCAAAGACTTTTGAATGCCCCGAAAATAATTTCTTAAGGGGCACCTGGCTGGCTCTGCCAGTAGAGCATGTGACTCTTAACCTTGGGGTCCTGAGGTCAAGCCCCCCATGTTGGGTGTGGAGCCTATTTTATTTATTTTTAAAGATTTTATTTTAAGTAACCTCTACACCCAGTGTGGGGCTCAAACTCACAACCCTGGGATCAAGAGTCACATGTTCCACTGAGCCAGTCAAGCATGCCATCATAGAGCCTACTTTAAAAAAAAAAAAAGAAGAAAAGGAAAAAAATAAAAATAAAATAATTTCTTTTTTTTTTTTTTAAATTTTTTTTTTCAACGTTTATTTATTTTTGGGACAGAGAGAGACAGAGCATGAACAGGGGAGGGGCAGAGAGAGAGGGAGACACAGAATCGGAAACAGGCTGCAGGCTCCGAGCCATCAGCCCAGAGCCTGACGCGGGGCTCGAACTCCCGGACCGTGAGATCGTGACCTGGCTGAAGTCGGACGCTTAACCGACTGCGCCACCCAGGCGCCCCTAAAATAATTTCTTAAGAAAGAAAAAGTCTAAATTTATCTTACCTGTTTTTTGACAGTAGACCAAAATTTGGTGCAGCTCAATTACTCTGCAGTCGAATCCATCCTGTGCTAGGACATCCAGTAATGCTTTTCATCCCCGATGACGTGGCTGGCATGGGCTCGTTGGGAGAACTGATACTCACTCCAGCTGCTGCTCTGTGTCCCTGCCCAAAGGTCTTTTCCAACCAGCTGAATAGAGTTTCTTCAGTTTCCATATCCTTTTGATGATAAACTCCATCAAAATTTTCAACTTTGTTTTGAAAAATGAATTTTTATATCCCAATTCTAGAAAAGCCTTTAGCATATAAACTCTGTATCTAGAAGCCAGTATAATTTGTATAAAAACAAAAATCCAGTGTGAAATCCAGTCTTGAGAAATTTTCCCCAAATACTGAAAACTATAAAATGTGACATATGTGCCACATTCTTTTCATATAATCCAATATGACTGAAGCATGGAATGGTGCAAGCAGGAGAGATGAGGCTGGAAAATGGTGGACATGGTGGCTCTTTTGTATCACACTTAGGATTGTGAACTTCATTCTCTGTATAGCGGGAAACCATTGAATGTTTTAGGCATCTCAAGCAGCATTGTACAGGATGGGTAGGAGAGATAAGTCAGTAATGACTAAGTGAATAAGTGAACTGGGCAAGAGATAATGCTCGCCTGAATCAAAAATGTGATGAGCAGGAAAAAGAGAGACTTATCACTTGAAGGAATCAGTATAATGAGGCAAGCAATTCATTGTGGGGGTAGGGAGAGATTAGGGGCAGGGATGGCCAAAATTGATGTTAATATTTCTATATCCAGAATAGGCAAATCTATAGAGACAGGAAGTAGATAGATAGGGATTTGGTGGGGGGAGGATGGTAAAAATGTCCTAAAATTGATGGTGGTGATGGTTGCACAACTCTTTGAATATACTATAATCCATTTATACACTTTAAGTGGGTAAGTTGTGTGCTGTGTGATATGTTTAAATCTCAGCTGTTTAAAAACATTTCCATAGGGCCCCTGGGTGGCTCAGTCGTTAAGCATCTGACTTTGGCTCAGGTCATGATCTCATGGTTCGTTAGGTCGAGCCCCATGTCAGGTGAGCTTGAGCCCTGGGTAAACACGAGCCCCACTTCGGGTGAGCCCTGCTTCTCTCTCTGTCTCACGCCTGCCGCCCCCCTTGCTGCCCTGGGATTCTCTCTCTGTTTGTCCCTTGTTCACTTGCGCCATTTCTCCCCCTGCCAAAAAAAACCATTTCAATAGATGGCTGACAGAATAATGATACTATCAATAAGATACAAATCATAAGTAGCAGATTTGGAAGGTAAAGATTAGCTTAGCTTTAAACATGCTAAGTTTGTAGTTTCTGTAGGACATCCCTTGAAAATGGCAAGTATAGCTATATAGAAATTTTGGTCTGGAATTTGGAAGTGGCCAATTTAGAGATAAATTTTAGAGCCTTAGCATTTTCTCCATCGGAAAGTAAAGTATAGTGCTGTGGTTAGAGCATGGAACAAGAGTGTAAATACTAGATTCACCACTAATTGGCTGTGACTTCATGTAGTTTACTCAACCAGCCTAAGGCTTTATTTCCTCCGCTTGAAAATGGAGATAATAGGGGCACCTGGGTGGCTCAGTTGATTGAGCAGCAAACTCCTGATTTCAGCTCAGATCATTATTCCAGGTCATGGGATCCAGCCCTGCGTTGGGCTCCATGTGGAGTGTGGAGCCTGCTTAAGGTTCTCTCTTTCTCTCCCTCTGCCCTTCTCCCTCGCTCATGCATTCTCTTTCTCTAAAATTAAAAAAAAAAAAAAAAAAATAGGGGCACCTGGATGGCCTAGACAGTTAAGCATCCACCTTCAGCTCAGGTCATGATCTCATGGTTTGTGGGTTTGAGCCCCACATTGGGCTCTGGGCTGACAGCTCAGAGCCTAGAGCCTGCTTTGGATTCTGTGTCTCCCTCTCTCTCTGCCCCTCCTCTGCTCATGCTCTGCCTCTCTCTCTCTCTCAAAAATAAATAAATGTTAAAAAATTAAATTAAATTTAAAAATAAATGGGGATAATAACACTTCATAGATTTATTTGTTTTCCCTTGCAAAGGTTTTGTTGTTGTTGTTGTTGTTTTGGGGTTAGTTTGTTTTAGTATTAATTATATATAATAGTCTATATGAAGCTCCCAGCATATTGCCTGACACATAAAAGTGTTCAATAAATGTTAGGTGTTATTGTTATATAATTGAAGCTGTACAAGTAAAATGAAGTTCTAGTAGCGTATAAAGAATAAGACCAGGGGCGCCTGGGTGGCGCAGTCGGTTAAGCGTCCGACTTCAGCGAGGTCACGATCTCGCGGTCCGTGAGTTCGAGCCCTGCGTCAGGCTCTGGGCTGATGGCTCAGAGCCTGGAGCCTGTTTCCGATTCTGTGTCTCCCTCTCTCTCTGCCCCTTCCCCGTTCATGCTCTGTCTCTCTCTGTCCCAAAAATAAATAAACGTTGAAAAAAAAATTTTTTTAATTAAAAAAAAAAAATTTAAAAAAAAGAATAAGACCAGAAGAAGGCCAAGGTCATGGTATGATAAATGTCAGCTGAAAATATCTTTAGGGAGGAGGAAGAAGCAGATGGTGATAAAGACTATGCATGGACTTTTGGATTTTAAAACATGCTTTTTCTTAATATCTAGGGCATATAGAAGAGTATAAAGTAAAATAAAAAAGTTTCTCCTCCTCCTCATCCCATTCTCCAGAGGGAAAAAGGCAAATTTTTCTATCCTCTTGAAGTTTACATTTAATAGGACATTTTAATAAATAGATGTCAGTAGTGATAAGTACAGTTAAAGATAAAATAAAGCAGGTAAAGAGATAATGACAGGGAAGTTATTTTAAATATTATAGTAAGCGAAGACTCTAGGGAGGTGATGTTTTAGTGAAGATAAAGAAAACTCTGATAGGATTTCAGTTTCTGAAAATGGCAAGCTAGGTAATTTAGACCAACCCTCCCATTGAAGACAAATGTTGGATGAAATATTAAGACATAAAAGATTCTTTTTTTTTTTAAATTTTTTTTTTCAACGTTTTATTTATTTTTGGGACAGAGAGAGACAGAGCATGAACGGGGGAGGGGCAGAGAGAGAGGGGGACACAGAATCGGAAACAGGTTCCAGGCTCTGAGCCATCAGCCCAGAGCCTGACGCGGGGCTCGAACTCACGGACCGCGAGATCGTGACCTGGCTGAAGTCGGACACTCAACCGACTGCGCCACCCAGGCGCCCCAAGACATAAAAGATTCTAAGAGCTAGTAAATAGGGAGGAATTTCTGGGCGATCACAGTAGAGACAGGAATTACAGAAAGCCTGAGCTCAACATTGGGGGCTGCTTTTGCTGTGAGGTCATTTGCAAATTATAGCAAGCAGCTGAGAGGCTAAGATGCACTTCTGAATCAATGTAGGTCAAGAAGGCCAAAGAGTTTAGGGCTTACTGAGCTGGGGGGTGCTGTTAAAAACACCTCTTGTTTGGGGCAGAGATAACTAAAAGGTTACACTTTAAGGAGTAAGATGAACCTGAAATAAACCATCCTTCACATGAACTGCATATATTTTTTGGGTCATCTGGGAAGGCTAGAAAACCTTAAACTTTAAAATTGGATTAAGATGATTCTAGATATCTAATTCTCCCAGATGTCTTTTAGAAGCAAACAAAGATTATTTTCTAGAGGAAGATCACCACATCTGTGCTTCAAATATTTTAACAAATACTTTCTCAAAATGTCCAGCTCATGTGTACATTTCTCTCTCTCTCTCTCCATCTCTGTTTCTCTCTCTCTGACACACACACACACACACACACACACACACAAACCACACGTAAAAGAGTGGACAAGGCAACATGAATAAGAGCTAGCAAAAACAAAAGCAACAGGAGTACCCACTGGGACTTCAGATATTGGTAACATCAGATACTGATTTTAAAAATAAAGAATTATGCTTATTATATTTATGAACTTGAAGGCCAAGCTTAAAAATTTTGCCAGGGAACTGAAAACTATAAAATGTGACATAATTTTTAAAACAACCAAACAGAAACTGTAGAACCAAAAATTACAATAACCAACATTGAAATTAAATAGGCAGATTTAACAGATTAGACACAGCATAAGTGAATTTGTGAAGTAAAAGATAAGGATAGCAAAAACTAGTAAAATAAAGCAAAGAAAGACAAAAGGATAGAAAATACAGAAGAGAGGTTAACAGTGAGAGGAAACAGAACATTTAATGTACATTTAATTCATGTCCCAAAGGAGAAGGGAGAAAATGGGGCAAAAACAGTCGTTGAAGAATCAATGGCTAAACAACTAAAACAGTTTCAGAGCTCAGCAATCAAGCAGGATAAACAAAAAGATATGTATACCTCTAGGAAATCAAAAACAAGGAAAAAATCAGCTAAGGAAGATGGATTTTCTTCAAAAGAGAAACAAATTGACAGCTGACTTCCTTATACCAACATGAGGTAGTAGTATAATAGTGTTAATGTCTGGAAATTTAAAAACTACCAACCTAGAATTCCATACCCAGTAAAAATATTTCTCAAGATAAAAGATAATGTTGGGGCATCTGGGTGGCTCCATTGGTTAAGCATCCAACTCTTGGTTTTGCCTCAGGTCATGATCTTGCAGTTCATGAGTTCGAGCCCAGCGTTGGGCTCTGCACTGACAGTGCAGAGCCTGCTTGGGATTCTCTCTCTCTCTCTCTCTCTCTCTCTCTCTCTCTGTCCCTCCCCCATGTGCATGCATGTGCTCTCTTTCTCAAAATAAATAAACTTAAAAAAAAGATAACTGGGGCGCCTGGGTGGCTCAGTCTGTTAAGCATCTGACTTCGGCTCAGGTCATGATCTCATGGTTTGTGAGCTCAAGCCCCATGTCGGGCTCTGTGCTGACAGCTCAGAGCCTGGAGCCTGCTTCAGATTCTGTGTCTCCCTCTCTCTCTGCCCCTCCCCTGCTCACACTCTGTTTGTCTGTCTCTCTCTCTCTCACAAATAAACATTAAAAAAAAATTTTTTTAAAAGATAACCTACCCATATAAAGGTCATAATTCATATAGTAAGAAGAATTAATTCAACTGACTTTAAGAACATAGTGTTTTGACATACATTCTTGGTATATACTCTAAGGATGAAATGAACTGAAAAGTGCTCTTGAAATTCATTTAGTGGTCTTGATTCTTGTTAATAACATTGGTATTACCATACTGAAATTCCTGCATGCATACTTGTTATAAAACAAGTAATAATGTTAAATGGTTAAGAACCAAAATTTTTAGCATAATATAGCAGATGTGGGAGTATAAATTCAAAGGAATAGGATATTTTTATTTTGAAATAAAAAAATTTTTGAAATTAATCTTTTTAAAAAAAAATGTTCATTTATTTATTTTGAGAGAGAGCATGAGCAGAGGAGAGGCAAAGAGAGAGAGAGAATCCCAAGCAGTCTCCATGATGTCAGTGCAGAGGCCAGCGCAGGGCTTGAACTCATGAAACATGAGATCATGACCTGAGCCCAAACCAAGAGTCAGATGCTTAACCAACTGAGCCACCCAGGTGCCCTGAAAGTAATCTTAAAGTGGAATTGAAAATATCAGTGTGTATGCCCAACTTTTCTGACTTTTGAAATTATATATTTTTTAGCTCTATCTGCTAAAAACAAAAAACAAACTGAGGAGCAATGAGCAGTCCTAGTATCCAGAATGTGTTCTCTAAATGTCATTGCTCACTAAAAAGGAGGAATGGCTGATTCCAGGCCTAAAGTAGAAATGTACAAGATGAGCATGGGTAGCTTGTTGAGCCAGAAAGCAAAGAAACTATCAAAGGCCATGAGATTCTGTCAGAGAATTTCAGAAATTCCACTTCCAGCCATGAACAAATAACAGGGACTGGATCCAACCTCCTACCTTGAACAATTTAAAAAACTATATTAAACAACAGAGAGTATAGGACAGTGGTTCTAGAGAAAGGAGAAACAAATAAACCCTGTATTGCACCACCGTACTACCTAGAGAAGTTCACCAGGAGGGTATACCCAACTAGAGTCTGGAGGATCTGAGTTGAGAAGATGAAGTTCAGAGTTAGGGAGGTCCAGGGAAGCTAGAATTTATAGAAAAGAGTGCCAAAGAGGAGATAAAATACACAGAGAGAGCTCCGGATAGAGGAGAATCCCTGGAGTGCACACAGAGCTGGAAATAGTTTTTATTCCTGCCAGGCAGGATGGAAAACATAAAGCATCAGGTAGAGTCCTAAGAAGGATTTGCTTGAATATAGTGGAGAAGTTAGCTTTAGCCTATAGGCTTCCCTGGTCCCACCTAACAAAGCTTAAGAGTAAGACCCAAAAGGCTCAAACTGTTCCCAAGTAACTTTATAGTGTCCCAGAAAAAAAGTACAAGAATATTTACAGGAATATAAAAGTATCCTGCATTCAGTGAGGTAAACTTCACAATGCTGGGCATCCAATAAAAAATTACTTGGTATGCAAACAAGCAGGAAAATAGGACCCATAATGAAAAAAAAATCAGAACTGCCCAGAAATGGCATAGGTAATAGGATTAGTAAACAAGGACATTAAGACAGGTATAACGGGGTACCTGGGTGGCTCAGTCAGTTAAACATCCGACTCTCGGTTTCAGCTCAGGTCATGATCTCATAGTTCGTGAGTTCAAGCCACATCAGGCTCTGCACTATCAGTGTGGAGCCTGCTTGGGATATTTTCTCTCTCTCTCTGCCCCTCCCACACTCTATCTCTCTCTCTCTCAAAAAGAAATAAACTTTAAAAAAAAGGTATAACTATATCTCATATATTCAGGAAGTGAAAGGGAAAAAATTGAACATATTAACTAAAGACACAAAAGATGTGAAAACCTAAATTGAACGTCTAGAGATAGAAATTAAAATTTTTAGGGTCAAGATACACTAGATGAGATTAGTGACAGGTTTACACATTGCAGAGAAATAGATAAGTGAACTTGAATACATAGCAATAGAAACTAAAATGAAACAAGGGACTAAAAAAAATGAATAAAATTTCTGTGAACTGTGGGATAACTTCAGGTGACCTAATTCAGGGACATGTAATTCAATTCCTGCAGGGAGGGAGGGCAGATAAAATATTTGAGGAAATAATGCCCCCCCCCCCAAATTTCCAAATTTGATGAAAAGTGTGAACCTGCAGAGCCAAGATCAGCAAACTTGAAACATAAGAAACATGAATCAAATCATACCAAGATACACCATAATCATTGATTAAAATCAGTGATAAAGAATCTTAAAAGCGACTAGAGGTAGAAAGACACGTTTACATACTGAGGAACAAAGATGCAAATTACTGCATTTCTCATTGGGAACTGTAAGCTACAAGAAAGTGAAGCAACATTTTTAAAATAATAAAGGGGAAAAAATCCCTTAATCTGGGTTCTATACCAGGAGAAAATATATTTCAAAAATGGAGGCAAAATAAAGAATTTATCAGACATACAAAAGACTTCACCAGCAATCTATATTATAAGAAATGTGAAAGGAGATGCTTCAGTCAGAAGAAAAATGCTATCAGATGGAATTCTGGGTCTACACAAAGAAGAGCCCTGGAAATCATAACTATCTGGATAGATATAAAAGATTTTTGCCCCATTTAAAAAATCTCTTTAAAAGATAATTGACTTTTTATGGGGTGCCTGGGTGGCCCGGTCCGTTAAGCATCTGACTCGATATCGGCTCAGGTCACGATCTCATGATTTGTGACATGGAGTCCCACGTCAGGCTCTGTCTGCGCTGGTAGCACAGAGCCTACTTGGGATTCTCTCCCTCTCTCTGCCCCTTCCCTGTTTGCACATGCATGCACACATACTCTCTCTCAAAATAAACAAACATTAAAAAAAGTTTTTAATAAATAAAAGATAATTGACTTTTGAAAGCAAAAAATGCCATCAGAATATATTATATGTGGAAGTAAAATGTGTGAGAATAGCACAAAGGCCAAGAGAGGAGAAATGGAAGTATATTATTCCCAGATTCTTATATGTATGTGCAACTGTTATAATATCACTTAAAAGGTAGACCGTGATAAAGTTGTATACTATAAAGCCTAAAGCAACCCCTAAGTTGCTTCAACAAAGAATTATAACTAATAAATCAAAAAAAGTGGGTGGTGCCTGGGTGGCTCAGTTAAGCATCCGACTTCGGTTCAGGTCATGGTCTCATGGCTCCTGGGTTCAAGCCCCGTGTCAGGCTCTGTGCTGACTGCTCAGAGTCTGGAGCCTGCTTCAGATTCTGTGTCTCCCTCTCTGTCTGCCTCTCCCCCGTTACACTCTGTCTCTCCTTCAAAATTAAATAAACATTAAAAAAATTTTTTTAAGTGATAAAATGGAATTATAAAAAACACCAGTCCAAAGTAGAATCCAAAAATAGAAAAGAGGAAAAAGAAAAAAAAAAAGGAAACAATGTAAGGAGAAAATGCCAAACACATAACAAGATTGTAGACTTAAAACCCAACCATAGCAGTATTTATATTAAACGTAAATAGTTTAAACAACCCATCAAAAGTCACACACTTCGACTCTTCGGACACTCCACTCACTGAGTTTGTAGCACCTCAAAGCTAGCCTGGCTCTGAACAGTGGATGTGTTGGCCTTAGCTCCCGTTTTAATGTCTTCTTGGATTTGGGATAGAGACTTTATTTATGGGCACTGTCTCACTTTGTTCTGCTGTGACTTTTCATAATGCCCCAGTGCCTACTGGGTGAGGATTTTAATCTTCATACTTAATGCCTCGTGTTTACCCTTTTCACAAGAGGATGAAAACAAAAAAGATTAAGGAAAATATATTCCTGGTTTCTTCAGCCTTGGTTCAGGGAACAAAAAGTGTTAAGCATTAGTTCTTAACTGGGTAATTTTGCCCTCAGAGGACATTTGGGAATGTCTGGAGACATTTTTGACTGTCATGACTCAGGGGGAGGGTGCCACTGGCATCTAGTGGGTAGAGGCCAGGGATACTGCTAAACATCCTACAGTGCACAGGACAGCCCCTACAACAAAGAATTATCTGGCCCAAAGTGCCAATAGTGCTTAGGTGGAGAAACCTTGGGTTTAAAAGAGTGAGAGTGGGAGTAAAATCAAGAGAAGAAAACCGGGGAACCTGGGTGTCTCAGTAGGTTAGGCGTCCAACTTCGGTTCAGGTCATGATCTCACAGTCTGTGAGTTTGAGCCCTACGCCAGGCTCTGTGCTGACAGCACAGAGCCTGGAGCCTGCTTCTCATTCTGTGTCTCCCTCTCTCTCTGCTCCTCCCCTGCTCACTCTCTGTCTCAAAAATAAATAAACATTAAAAAAAAAGAGAAGGAAACCATTTCAGGGGCTTGTCCCCTTTGTCTTGGTTAGAGAATAGGGTTAGAGAAGGTAAGGAGTTTCCTTCTTAATCTGAATATACCCAAGTACTTACTGAAAGATATATCTTTGTATATATTTGTAGCATGTATCACACTGTATTACAGTTTACTGGTTTTTATGTGTATCTCCAGTACTATAAATATGATAACTTGAAGGTAGGTATTAAATCTTAATAAATATTAATAAATTGATTTTATGTATTATAAATAAATATTAACAAATTATTAATAAATTTTATTTATTATTAATATTAATAAATCTTAATAAAATTAAATATTCATCTTTGTGTCCTCTGAACTTAGTATAGTGTTTAGCCTGTAGTACCACTCAAACGTATGATGGAATGAGCAAGATGAAGAAATAAACTAATTGTCCAATACTATACCTGTAACACACACTTACTGAACTCAGAATAAATTTCTAGGGATTCTAGTGGATCTGTCGTGGTGCCTCACACCTGTATTCAATGTGAAAAGGCTTAATATATAATTAGCTAGCACCATAGTTTATTTCTGAGAGTGTGAACCAGGTCAGTATTATGTTTGTTTTATGCAAATGAATATATTGTCATTTAAAAAAAACCCTAAAATTTGGCAGTTTTCTTTAGCGACTATACATATTTCTATATGGACCGTCAGGCCTGCCTCTGATATTGCCAAGTCAGAAGCAGCCAACTACTACTGTCTTCGAAGATACCTCTTTCTTCATTGACTGGAAGAAATACCACTTGTGTCTGGTGCCCAATTTGGATCTCAGTTTGGATAGAGGTATATCTCCCTCTCTTTGCACAGGGATAAAGAAACCTGGAGAATATTATATAAATGCAAGTAAACATAAATAGCAGGTGTACATAAAAAATAGGACCCAGTGATCTGATGGCTTAGGTTGGGTGGTGCTGTTAGGGGTCTGGCTGAGAATCCACGTGAAGTGCAGCAAACAACAGGTCAACAGGCAAAGCTCCATTAGAGCCTGTTTTGGCATTACATGTTAATGCTGGTTTTTCTCTCACTTCCTCTACTGGCTCCTCTCTTCCTGGTCCTCTTGAGGTAGTCATTGAGCCTTCATCTTCTAAGGACTTGTTCAGAGGGTTTCTCTTGTACCTTAATCTGTTTTAGAAAGGATAGTAAAAGATTAATAACATCTTTGAACTATTGTGGAAGAGAAATGTTTCCTAATGAAATGAGAAAATGCACATAAAATTACTTAGAAAATATTACCATATAAATGCAAGGCAGGAGTACAAACTATATAGTAATCAACTACGAAACTAGCTGTAAGATTTATGCAGAGCCTGACCACATTAGCTTTGGATGAATTACACTGAGTTGGACACCTAATAACTGGATCAAAAAATAAAACTGGGAAGTAGGAATATGCAAACATGAGCTGATATCTAGGAGCTTTACAATGTTGAACTTGACTGTTATTAGCTAGAATTCTTTGAAATTTAGAAGGTAGTCTGGTCACCTGGATCCTGAGGAAGGTAGCCAGTGGGAAATAGGTATTCTAGAGCTGTAATGGCATGAGGAGACTGGAGCCTCCTGGAACAGAGTATTTCTAGGGGAATGACAGAGTCTTCTCTAGGAAGTAAGCTTCAGAGTAGGGTTTTTTTTCTTGAATAGGTAGTTATTCCAGAGGGTGGGATGAAAGAAGCCTGTCCTTGGACAGGGTCTCTGGAGATGAATGGTTTTGTGAAGAAAGAATGCTTGATCTTAACTGGGGGATGTCATGCCATTACAATTTTTGAATCTCTCGGGCTCTCCATATCTCCTTTTGTCTTTCATTTTTATTTTCATGCTTTGTTAGTTTCGTTGTGTTTTTTTTTTTTTTTTTTTTTTTTTTTTTCCGATTCTTGATGCCTGAACTTGCTCAGTTAACTTTGGAGATGAATAATGTAGAAAATATCTCCTCATCTTCCTCCATCATTACTCTAAGGGACAGAACCAGGATGTGGAAATACACGGAGGTATTTCTCTGAATGGATCTGGATGGAATTTAGGACTATCATAATTGTGTTTTAAAGGATCCAGGTGCTAGAAAGTGACGGTAGGGCATCAGATTACTTGGGAGTATAAATATAATATAGTGATGTGGTTCAGAACACAGATTTTGGAGTCAGTCTAAAACAGATCCACCACTTGCTGTCTCATGGTGGGCAATGTATTTAACCTATTTGTACTTCTTATCTGTAAAATGGCATAAGAATAGGTCCTATGTCTTAGTGTTGTTGTGAAGTCTAAATATTTAGATAGTTCATGTGAAGAATTTAACACAATACAAAGCATGTAGTAAACACTTAATACAAATTAATTGTTATCATTACTCGGGTTTGACTCTGACGTCTGACTCTTACTAGTGATACCTACCTTAGAAAGTTGTATAAAGAATGAATAAATGTATCGTATTAGTGTTTCCCAATAAATTCTACAGCGTGCTGCTTGGTTTACATTTTGCACACTCAGTTGTTATTTTGATGTTCCTTCTATGAGTCACTATATTTGCTTCCATCATGTGGATAGAGAAACAGGTTCAGGAGGAAAAGGGAGTGTTTGATTTTAGATCTTAGATCATTCTTTGTTTGAGGTATAGGTTCTTTATTCACTTAGCATTCTGAGGGCCTTACTTATCTTAGAATACTGTATAATATCTTGTCCTCTAGATTTGGTGCTTCCAGATGTGAGTTATCAGGTGGAATCCAGTGAGGGGGATCAATCTCAGAATATGGACTCCCAGGGACAGACTCTGCTGCTTTTTCTCTTTGTGGATTTCCACAGCGGATTTCCGGTCCAGCGAACAGAACTCTGGAGTAGGTATAGGGGCTGCCAGTATGGGTGTGATTAAATGTTAAGAGAGTAAAGAAAGGGAGACTTTATCTGAATTACATATATAATTACATATATTTCTGTAGAATAATGAATTTTAATAAAAAATCTTAAATAGGTTAAATTATATACTGTGTAGAAAAGATCTGTATCTTAAAATGAAACCTCACTTAAATGATGACATTCCCAGAATGTTCAGAAATCAGATACTTTCTATAATGCTCTTTAAAAAGAGGCTATTACCTTAGATGAGTGGTTCTCAACCTTAGCTCCATGATATATTACCTGGGGAGCTTCTAAAAATGCCCAAACTTTGCCCCCAGGGATTATGATTTCCTTGGACTGAGGCAGTGCTCTGATACCAGTATGTTTTTAAAGCTTAGGCCTGAGAACTGTCCACCACATTATTGCCTTTCCAGGTGGAATCAAGAAATGTTACCGGCCTTGCTTGGCCTTGACACAGTATCTCAACTACAACATAAGGTGTGGGAAGCATATTGGTATGAATAGCTTTATGTCATTGTCACATAGACCTCTGGGAAGGGAGAAATTGTCCTCGTTCAGGCATACAAGGGGGAGCCTTTAGTATCTAACAAATTGATGATAATCTGTTATCAGAAAGTTTCTGTTTGGTGGTCCATGAAACATGCATCAGAATCACCTGGAGTATTTGAAAATGTGTTTCTTCCTGAGCCAAGAATCAATTCATTGTTTTGTTATAATATAAAAATATGGAATGGCTCAATAATCTGCATTCTTAAAAATATTCTCAGGTAATTTTTAAATTTAGTAAAGTTTGAAAAACACTGAATATGAGCAGGAGTTAGCTTATGTGTTTTAATCCAATAAACCCTGAGGGATAAATTTACGTGTTTCTCAATGCCCTTCTAAACTTTGAGGGAAGTAGCAAGAAGTGGAGCTTATAAATATGTGGGGAAAGGTTCATAAGCCTCCCTTTTGGTGCCCCCAGTATGTTTCTGTATTCTTTCTCTGTGAGCCAGTGTTTTTTCTTGGAACTCTACTCTGAGCCATTCCAGTGCTTGTTTGGTGTGGCCCTGCTCCCACTGAGTCATGATAGAAATGACACAATTTATATCCCCAGATCAGAAGAGCTCATGCTGACTGGTGCCAACTATTTTTTGAACAAAATATTGTCAGTTGTGGGATTCTTCCTGCTGCCTGCCCTCCATGCATCTCCTGTCTTTCTCCACTATCTATATATTGTTGAGGAGAGAAGCACTATCTTCCTGGACTCTGCCTTGCAACTCTTTATTTGAGGAGCTGTTTTTGTCTGATGCCCCTGGTGTTCTGTTCATTAAGGCCCTGGAATGGGAGCATAGAAGAGACCCAAACTAATGAGGCTTCTAGCAGTGAAGACAGAATGAGCTTGCATAGGGTTGTTACCTGGCTCACACTCATATGGACAGAGGCTGATAAGAGAAGAGCTTAGTATAGGGGAAAGGACTTCAGGTAGAATCAAGAGAGCTGGTGTTGTTGTTGTTCATTTAGTTTTTGAGAGAGTGAGTGAGCAGGGGAGGGGCAAAGAGAGAGGGAGAGAGAGAATCCCAAGCAGGCTCCATGCTGTCAGCGCAGAGCCTGATGTGGGGCTCAAACTCACAAACTGTGAGATCATGACCTGAGCCAAAATCAAGAGTCAGATGCTTTAACCAACTGAGTCACCCAGGCACCCCTAGAGAGCTGGTTCTAACTTTACTTCTGCCACCAAATTCCTCAGTGGTTTTTCAGAAGCAAGTCTCATAAATCATCTGATCCTCTCTTTTCGTATATTTAACATGAGATTGGTAGACGAGGGGCTAAAAGGCCCTTTCAAGTCTCAAGACCCTCTGAAGACTTAAGATCTACTATCTTCTAGTGAGGTTGTTTTGTTGTTGTTTTTTTTCCGTGTGTGTGTGTGTTTGGGAGAGTGCAAGCAGAGGAGGGGCAGAGAGAAGGGGACAGAGGATCAGAAGCAGGCTCTGTGCTGGTGGGCTGACAGCAGCGAGTTTGATGTGGGGCTTGAACTCACAAACCACGAGATCATGACCTGAGCTGAAATCAGACGCTCAAGTGACTGAGCCACCCAGGTTCCCCCCCTGATTTTTTTGAGGTCTTCTAGAGGGAGTACCACATTCAGTCTTCCCTAGGATGTTGTAAAGTCTGATACCATGTTCTGAATCCTATTATTCCTGAATCCTCCCATACCTGAAGAACTCAGATTCCTTAAAACCAGTGTTGTCTATCATTCTTGTAGTAAGTACTGTGATAGTTTATACATCTCTGCTTATCTTGACTCTGAAGGCCAGCAGCATCTCAGGTAGTGACAATACTGAATTAAATAGAAATTCATCACTGCATTAGTAAACATAGTATCTTTTTAAATTTCCTCACATATCTGGTGGTTTAGGACTAGTCTTTGAAAAAAGATGTACTGTGAAGGTAGGTAGATACAGATATATGGATAGAGATATAGTAATTTTATCTTCTTTCTCCCTTATTCTTTTTCATATCCTTGAAAGCTTTCTGTAGAGCTACTTTTAGGAAACAGATTGTGCAGAACTACAGTCTGTTTCCATGTGTCTTAAAAAAAATCACTTAACTGGCCTCCTGCCCACCTTGTCATGGTAACTTTTCTATGATTAACTCATTATTTTGCTACAGCGTTAAAGGCATCTGGTGGTATCAGCAGTTTTAGGAGAACAAACTTGTAGCTTTTTAATTAAATGTCTGCTTTCAAAGGGGTCTAACTGATTTCTTGAGGCTATTCTTAGGACCAAACTATAGAAAACAGTAATCCATATGATATCATCATAGCAATAGCAATATTTTCCCTTTGAATATTGCAATGTACATTTTAGAACACTTCATATATATTATCCTAGTTTATCTGCACAACATGCCTGTGAGAGCGGGTGTTATAAAGCCAATTTTAGTTTTGAAGTGAGAACAGTCAAGTGACTTGGTCACCATTAGTTAGTGGTAGAATTCACTCTAGAATCTATGTTCTCCTAACTCCAATTTTGGACGCTTTTTGAGCAGATCACATACTACATTCCTTTCTGGGAAGGCATCCTTGTGCCTTGTGGTAGAAAATGTACTTTCTGGTTTGCATTTTTAATGCAGCCCTGAGAAAAGCCAGCCAGCCGTTGGCTGCTTCACCATAGTACCTTTGAATAGACTTTTCAGGGTAGAGTAGAAAAACACTGAAAAGGAAAGGTTTCCTCAGGTGTGAAGTGAATTTGTCTTCCTGTGTCTGTTGCCTCTGAGTCATCAATGCGAGCCTACTGCTGGATGACATATTTTGCCTGTCACTCTTACCTGTTAGCTATTCTGCTGTGCAGTGGTGCCTGTGGTTACTTTATCAGAAATAAAGTACTTTTTCTATACCACAGCATATCTGAGAGGATTAAGACCCTGACAGTAGCAGTGGCTCACCACGGCAGTGATGCTCAAACAGGAGATGAGTAGGGTAGATACAACTTTCCAGGAGGCTTTCCTCTTCCTCATTCTCCTGTTCTTTCAGAGTCACAAGTATCATTGTCTGTAGTGATGTGGTATATATTTCTGTTTCTAATATTAATCAAATAGGAACCCTCACTTGTTTCTTCAAAAATAATGTCAAGCTTCACATTAATTTTTGAAGCTTTCTTTCATTTGTAAGTGGAACTGGGTGGGTTTGTAAGTTGCTGGGATTTTTGGGGGGCAGTGGGGGACTAAAAAAGTAATTATTTGCAGATAGGCAGAAGTGGCCTCTTCTTCTAAGAGCCTCTTTCTCATGCCCACCCTGACTCACAGCACATGAACATCTGTCTTAAAGTGGCCATTCTCACTCCCCTTAGGAGCCCATACTTTGCTCACCGTTCATCTCAGTGCCATCCTCACGGAGAGCCACAGTGTAGTGCAAGATTCCATCCAAGTGACTGTGGACCAGGCCTTGGAACAGTATCACCAGGCTGCCAAGGTAATAAGAAATTCATAACTCCTTTTCTCCTACTTTCTCTAAGAAAAAGAACTAGAGGAGCACCTGGGTGGCTCAGTCAGTTGAGCGTCCAACTTTGGCTTGGGTCATGATCTCGCAGTTCATGAGTTCCAGCCCCCCATCGGGCTTGATGCTGTCAGCGCAGAGCCCTCTTCAGATCCTCTCTGTCTCTCTCTCCCACTCTCTCTCTACCCCTCCCCTGCTTGTGTCTGAAGCAGGCTCCAGCTCAGAAGCAGTGCTGACAGCTCAGAGTCTAATGTGGGCTCGAAGCCACGAACAGTGAGATCATGACCTGAGCCAAAGTCGGACACTTAACCAACTGAGCCACACAGGCACCCCAAGAAATCTTTAAACAGAAAAAAAGAAAAAAACTAGAGGATATGACAGACCTGGAGAGCCTTCCTCGCTTAATGCCCTCTTCCTCTTTTGTCACCTTGGCTGATCTTTACACTGCCTGTAGTCTAGGAACTCAGGCTTTAACTTAGGATATGTCATTGTAACCATCTTGCAGTAGTACTTCCATAATACTACAATTCTACTACTAGTCTTACCTACTAGTAGGTGAATTTGAGTAAATAGGGACAAAATAATAGAGAAAAATGACTGATAATGCACCTGTTCCTTACTATCTTCCCTTCACACACATACTTCTGGAGCTATTGATTCACTAAATCTTATATTCTCCCCCCATTTCCCAATGCTTTATAACATCACTTTCTTTTTTTTTTTTTTTTTTTTTTCAACGTTTATCCATCTTTGGGACAGAGAGAGACAGAGCATGAACGGGGGAGGGGCAGAGAGAGAGGGAGACACAGAATCGGAAACAGGCTCCAGGCTCTGAGCCATCAGCCCAGAGCCCGACGCGGGGCTCGAACCCACGGACCGCGAGATCGTGACCTGGCTGAAGTCGGACGCCTAACCGACTGCGCCACCCAGGCGCCCCTAACATCACTTTCTCTTATCTGACTTTCTGATTTCCTCCATCCTGTGTACTTGTGGTAATATATTTCTTCATATGGCCCCCTTCTCAGGGGAAAAAACCAACCACACTAAGAGCAAAGTTTAAAGCTTTTTGTTTTTAAATACTATGTGCATCTGTTTTATTGCCTAGTGTCTTATGGGTTGGTTATCTTTTCTGAATGTGTCTGCGTCAGTAAGTCATCTCTGTAAAAGGGGAGTATATTGTTTCAGTACCTCGGTGTCCTTTATATGACATGATCTCAGTAAGTATTGTTGATGGGGGGGGGGGGGAGAATTGTTGAAATCCTGCCCTTACTGAAATCTTTGATTCCTTGGGGATTCTCTGAACCAGCAGCTTGGGATTATTTTAAACTGCCATCTCCCCTTACTTGTTATGTTCCTTAGGATCATCAGAAATTGCAGGCCTCACTCTCAGTGGCTGTGAATTCCATCATGAGTATCGTGACTGGAAGCACCAGCAGTAGCTTCCGAAAGATCTGCTTCCAGGCCCTTCAAGTTAGTAGACTGGAGCCGCTTAAAAGTGCCAGGTTTTTAACAACATTCTACCACCTATCTTAGTAATATGCACAGAGCTTTTAGAAGCATTTCATTTTAGCCTCTTGTGATCCTATATGGTATCAGGCTTGTGGTGTTTTAAAAAACATTTGTTGAATGGATAGTGTACTATTTTATAAATGAGAAAATAAGTTATTTAAAATTTCCACTTCCTTTAGGTCACATAGCTAGCTACAGTTAGAGCTAAGACTAGATCAGTGATTCCAAGTTCCTTACTGAAGAATGTTTGTTACCTCGTGGTTACAGAAAACATTGGAAATAACTGAGTAGCCTTATTTGGCAGTATGGAATAGTGTAACAGTTGAAATTAGAGGCCTGAGTTCAATTCAGAACTGGCTATGTGGACTCAGGCCTGTACTTAACTTCTCTGAGCTTCATCTATAAATTGGAAAAAATAATAGTACCTCACAGGGTTGTTATGAGCGTGAGGGCTAAGTATATAGCATATGGTAGGTTCTGGACAAATGTTAGTTTCCTTCCTTTTAGAATTCTGTGCTGACCGGTTGGTATTATCAGTGGGGTGACACATTCATTCTGTGTCTATTTTATTTTTTGTAATTTATCTTGAAAAAATAGAATAATGTATTCAAATTAAAAAATAACTAATAATATTAGTGTAATTACAATTTTTGCATATTATCTCATATAAGCTATATTGTATAGTTGTAACCAACATATTCTATATTCATATATAATTTGACATTTCCTCATTTCAGCTGTTTTAAAATTTGTATCAGTTACCCAATTCTACTACATTGATTTATTTTTTTTTTTAATTTTTTTTTTTAACGTTTTATTTATTTTTGAGACAGAGAGAGACAGAGCATGAACGGGGCAGGGGCAGAGAGAGAGGGAGACACAGAATCAGAAGCAGGCTCCAGGCTCTGAGCCATCAGGCCAGAGCCTGACGTGGGGCTTGAACTCACGGACTGCGAGATCGTGACCTGAGCTGAAGTCGGACGCTTAACCGACTGAGCCACCCAGGCGCCCCTCTACTACATTGATTTAATCTGATTTAATAAACCATTCCCCTAATGATAGACATTTAGGTTGCTTGTATTCTTTTTGCTAATATAAATAGTATTTCAGTTAATACCTCTATGTGATATCTTGCTTCTTTTGAATTATTTCTTAGAATAAATTTCTATACGTGGAGTTACTAGGTCTAAGAGTATAACACCTTTATAATCTAGTGCATCTTACAGCTTCAACTATCTGGGTCATGTGGATAGCACAGGGTAATGAAAAGAACACTATGTTGGCAATTCTAAAGTCAGTCCTAACTTTTGTACTGACTAGCTGTGAGATCTTCAGTGGATCACTTCTCCTTTTTAGATTTCAGTATTCTTGTCTATAAAATTAGTGTGTTGTGTTAGGTGGTTGCTCTTGTCCCCTTTAACTCTAATATCCTACAATTCTATACTAAAAAGTAGAGGTTATTACCCATTGCTTATGGATGCTAACTATCATCTTGTTCCTTTCTTCCCTAAAAGACTTACCCGAGGAAAGTTTCTTATTTCAGCCTTATTTGAATACAGTGGAACCTATGCTGTCTTGGAACTTGTTCTGGAGGAGAGCAATTTACATAATCCTTTTATGAACAGATGGATCTCTGGGATGTGTATCCCCTATAGAGATAAGAGAACAAAGGCCTTGTTTGAAAGATCTTGCTTAGGTAACAGAAATTGGAAGATACAGAAGCCACAGCTACTTGTCTCATGCCAGTTTCACAGGCTTCTCTCTACTTCTTCTGTGTTCATTGGAATTAAGGAAACTCTTAACACAAACATGGTTTGCCTTCCAATTTGTCTCCTCCTCTTCCTATATCATGTAGGTACCTTCCTTTTGGTTTCCAGTACTGGAATTCAGCATATTCTCTCTCTGGCTCATTTTAGGCAGCTGACACTCAAGAGTTTGGGACTAAACTGCATAAATCATTTCATGAGATCACCCAGCACCAATTTCTTCCCCACTGCTCATGTGAGGTGAAGCAGGTAAGTATAAATAATCAGTAGTTTAGTGGAAATCTTCCATATTGATATATGTGAACCCTAATACAGGGTGGGTAGGTGCAAGTACTTTAAATTTTTTATTTATTAAAAAAATTTTTTTAACATGTATTTATTTTTGAGAGACAGAACATGAGTAGGAGAGGAGCAGAGAGAGAGAGAGGGAGACACAGAACCTAAAGCAGGCTCCAGGCTCGGAGCTGTCAGCACAGATCCCGACACGGAGCTTGAACTCACAAACTGGGAGACCATGACCTGAGCCAAAGTCAGATGCTTAACCGACTGAGCCACCCAGGCGCCCCTAAATTTTTTATTTTTTTTAATGTCTATTTATTTTTGAGAGAAAGAGCACAAGCAGGGGAGGGACAGAGCGAGGGAGACATAGAATCTGAAGCAGGGTCCAGGCTCTGAGCTGTCAGCACAGAGCCCAATTCTGGGCTCAAAGTCACAAACCACGAGATCATGACCTGAGCTGAAGTCAGACACTTAACTGACTGAGCCACCCAGGCACCCCAGGTACAAGTACTTTAGATTGCACATTCTGAGGTTGGCCTTTCAGCAAGGAAGTCTGTGGTTTAGGAGAACTTTAATAGAACGTAGTATTACACAGAGGTCAAGAGCATGGTTAGATGTTGCTCAGATTTTATTTCCGCCACTAACTAGTTGTGTCATATTGTGGAAGCTATTTAATCTTTCTAAGCCTTAGTTTTATCAGTAAAACAGGAATGACGCATACCTAAAATTGTTGTGAGGTTTGAATAAAATAATGTACGTAAAGTGCTTGGCACATATTTACTCTTACAATGGTGATGTGATCAAAGCCATACTTTTATCTCTTCACCTTTCTGGGTGCTGGAGATATAGAATTGCATTAGTTAGTGTCTCCACCCTTGAGATCAGAAGGCTTCATCTTGTTTTGTGACAGATTCCTCTAATGAGTGAAAAGAAATCAAACTTAGGAAATTCTATATATCTCCAGATTCTAGGTAATTTTTAGTGGTGTTCCAAGTAAAGCACACTTTTCTGGCCTTCTTGGCTCCAGTCAGTAGGATTGACTTTTCTGGAGCTAAAGTATAATATGAGTAAATGAAGGAGATTAGGGGTGATGTTATACAGTGGCTTCTGGCCAAGATGGAGTAATAGGAACCAGATTTATTCTTCTGTGTGAAATAACAAAAATCTACACACGATATATATAACAATGTTTCTCAAGACACTGGGCATCAATGAATAGGATAATCATTCCTGAGAAATGGAAAACAAATGAAGTGAGCCCTATGATTACCCTAGCATACTGCCTAGAGAAAGTACAGAGGCCATTGAGCAGGGAGAAGACATCCAGGCAAAGCCTAGTAGTCTCCCTAAGTTGAACAGATGAAGTGGAGAGTCCCGGGATGCCAAGACAGCTAAAGTTTTCAGGGCAGAGTACCAGAAAAGAGAGAGTTGCACAGAGAGAGAATTCTGGGAATCTGCAGTATTCAGTATTCAGAATAGTATTAATCAGCTCATTCTTGTGAAGAAACTATGCAGGTAAAGAACCATCCAGACGGATAAAAGGGGACAATATGCAGAGCTTACACAGGGCTAGAGATAGTGCATATTTCCATCAACCAGAGAGGAAAGCTTTATAATTTATGGAGCATCAGGTAGAATACTAAGAAGAGTCTTGCCTTGGGAATGGAGAAAAATTACACCTCTGCTTAATAAACACTCCTCTGGTCCTGCCTAACAAAGCTTAAAAGCAGAAGCAAGATCTAAAGGGATCAAGTTGTTTTCAAGTAATTCAATAGCATCACAGAACAAAGGTCAAGAATTTTTACAAGAGTATTAAAAATATCCAGCACCCACCAAAGTAATATTCACAGTGCCCTGCATCCAATCAGAATTAACAGGCATGCTAAGAAGCAGGAATATACAACCCACAATGAAGAGGAAACTCCATCAAATGATCAATCATTTAATGAAAACCGATCCAGAACTGACACAGAGGATAAAATTAGTAGACAAAGACATTGAAAGAGTTATTATCATAACTATATTCTGTATGTTCAGGAAGCTAGAGGAAAGACTGAACAGTCTTACTTCCACTAAGTAGAGATGTGGAAGGTATTAAAAAAGACTCAAATGAACTGTAAAGATGAAAACTATGATGTCTCTGAGGTGGAAATTACACTGAATAGTATGAATGGAACATTGACACTTAAAAACACATAGCAGTAGAAACTATCTGAAATGAAACACAGTTGTAAAATAATATTGATGATGATGATGATGATAGTAAATAGAGCATCGAGCACCTGTGAGTTATGGGACAACTTCAGGTAGCCTATTATGTGCGTAATTGAGGAATCTGAAGAAGAAACAGGCATAAAATATATTTGAAGGAATAGTGGCTGAAAATTTTCCAAATTTGATGGATTATATAAAACCAACAGATCTAAGAATCTTAAGAAACCCCAAGCCCATGAAACAAAGAAAACTACACCAAGACACATCAAAATTAAATTGGTTAAAACCAATGGTAAAGGGAAAATCTTAAAAGCAAACAAGGGTGAGGAAAGCTTATGTACAAGGAAACAAAGATAAGGATTACAGAAAATTTCTCATCAGAAAAAGTATAAGATAGAAGAAAATGGAGCAATGTCTTTATAGATAGTACTGAAGAAAAAACCTTCAACCTAGAATTCTTTACCTAACAAAGATACCTTTTTTTCTCCAAATGTATTTATTTGTTTTTGAAAGAGAGAGTGAGAAAGAGCATGTGCGTGCACACATGAGCAAGGGAGGGGCAAAGAGAAAGGGAGAGAGAGAATCCCAAGCAGGCTCAAACTCACAAACCGTGAGATCATGACCTGAGCTGAAATTGAGAGTTGGACACCTAACTGACTGAGCCACCCAGGCACTCCCAACAAAAATATCTTTCAAAAAAGATGAAAAAGGACTTTTTCTGACATACAAGAGTTGAAAGAATTCATTATCAGCAGTTGAGAAATGTAAAAGAAATCCTTCAAGCAGAAAAAAAGTGATAACCAGCTGGAAACCTGAATCTAGGTAACTACATGGATAAATATAAAAAAATTTTTTTTCTTATTACTTAAATCTCTTTAAAACATAATTAACTTTTTAAAGCAAAAATAGCAATAATATGTTGTGAGGTTTATAACCTATGGTGAAGTAAAATGTATAACAATAACAGCACAAAAACCTGGAGGAGACAGATGGAAATATACTGTTTTAAGGACTTATACTGTATGTGGAATAGTGTAATATTATGTGAAGGTAGACTGGTAAGTTGAAGATGAAAAGAACCATCAAAATAATATAAGGATTTACAGCTATTGATCCAAAAAAGGAGATACAATGGAGTCATAAAAAATATTCAACCCTCGAGAATGAGAAGACAGGCCACAGACTGGGAGAAAATAATTGTAAAAGACACAGTAGTTAAAGGACTGTTACCCAAAAAATACAAAGAATTCTTTTTTTCTTAAAGTTTATTTTGAGGGAGAGAGAGGGAACAAATGGGGGAAGGGCAGAGAGAGAGGGAGAGAGAGAATCCCAAGCAAGCTCTATGCTGACAGCACTGACGCAGGGCTCAATCTCGTGAATCATGAGGTCGTGACCTGAGCTGAAATCGAGAGTCAGACGCTTAACCGACTGAGCCACCCAGGAACCCCCAAAATATGCAAAGAACTCTTGAAATTCAACAATAAAAATAAAGCAGCCAAAGACTTTAACAGACACCTCACCAAAGAATACATAAGATGGCAAATAAGCATATGAAAAAATGCTCCACATCATATATCATCAGGGAAATGCCAATTAAAACAATGAGATACTACTACACACCTATTAGAATGGCCAAAATCCAGAACATTGACAACACCAAATACCGGCAAGGATGTCTTAATTGCCAAAACTTGGAAGCAACCAAGATATTCTTAAGCAGGTAAATGGATAAATAAACTGTGGCACATCCAGACAATGGGATATTATTTTGCACTAAGAAAAAAAAATGAGCTACAAGCCATGAAAACACATGGAGGAAGCTTAAACACATATTTAAATAAAAGAAGTCAATATGAAAATGCTGCAAACTATGATTCCAAGTATATGACGTTCTTGAAAAGGCAAAACTATGGAGACAGTAAAAAGATCAGTGTTTTCCAGAGGTTAGATGAAAAGGGAGGAATGAATATGCAAAGCACAGAGGATTTTTAGGGCAGGGAAACTGTTCTGTATGTTTCTGTAATGGTGGATACATGTCATTTTACATCTGTCCAAAACTATAGAATGTACAACACTAAGAGTAAACCCTAGGGTAAACTATGGACTTTGATGATAACGATGTGTCCATGTAGGTTTAACACTTGTAACAAATGTACAGCTCTGATGGGGGATGTTGATAATGGGAGAGGCTGTACATATGTAGGGGCAGAGGGCATATGAGAAATCTATGTACCTTTTGCCCAGTTTTGCTATGAACTTAAAACTTCTCTAATATTTTTAAAAATATTTAATCTAAAAGAGGGCAGAAAAAGAGGAAAAAGAAGGAAAAAGAACAAAGTACAGATGAGACAAATAGACAACAATTAGCAAAATGATATATTTAAACTCCGCCATATCAATTATATTAAATATAAGTGGCCTTTACAACTATTTACATTAAAAGGCAGAGATTGTTAGATTTAATAAAGCAAGAGCCAACTGTATACTGCCTACAAGAATCCCACTTTAAATATAAAGACAGAAATAGAGTAAAAGTATAAAAGTATGGGAAAAAATGTACTGTGCTTACACTAGTAAGAGCACCGAAGAGGGGCACCTGGCTAGCTCAGTTGATAGAGCATATGACTCTTGATCTCAGGGTTGTAAGTTTGAGCCCCATGTTGGGTGTAGAGATTACTTGAAAATAAAATCTTAAAAAAATTAAAAAGCACTGAAGCGGCTATAACGGGTGCCTGGGTGGCTCAGTTGGTTAAGTG